ATTTTATTCCTATTAATAATGTTGATTCTCACGTGCAATTGGCAACAGACATCAGAGGTCTGTAAATTGTGTGGCAATCTGAGTTCAGCCACTATTTCTTTGCTCATCTTTAAGTTTTTTGAACATTTTTTGTCCTCCTTTGGAGGTGAGCACTGGATAATCTTTCTTTTTAAGAGATTTAGCATTCTGAATAACCCTGAAGTACTGAACAAAGTTTCAATACATAAGAATAATTTTGTCCACCACTGACTTGCAGACACCTCAAAGGTGAATACATGGCAACTGTTTTAGGAATGCCTAACAGCACTGAAAAAATGTTTAGAACAGCAGTTGAATGTGAGATTTAACTGAAACAACAAGAGGCATACGTAGTTGAACAGTAATTTTTGGAGGTGGATTCTCCTCAAGATATTAAAATTAACATGTTATGAGATACACCATAGGGTCATCTGTGACTATCAGTTCTGCAGACATCAGTTGTATGTTCATCAGAAAGACTTATGGAAAATAAAGCTAAAGTAAATCACATTTGTTTGATGCATGTGTCTGATCAGAGATTCATGTATAAATGCATGTAACTGAATTGATTTACATTGGGTTTACTGAAAGATTCACCTTATTCTGGAGAATTTAACAGGAGCAGAAGGCAAATAGACTTGTGGTCAATGTACAGGGTAGGTGTCGAGATCTGGGTTTTATGCTCAGCTGTTCTGTGTGAACTGGGAATGTCTCCTAACTCTCTTTCCTTATCAGTCTATGAAATGGAGATAATGATATTTTCTGGCTGCATGTGGGAGTGGTGAGGCTTCATTCACTGATGTTTGTGATGTACCAAGCTGGAAAAAAGAGAGACTTGCTTGTTAACTTTGAGAACTGCTCTGATACCATGATGATGAGTGAGTGACTTTATAAAAACTTTGATTTTCATGTGTAAGACAACAAATAGGTGTAAACTGTCCTCTGTTGCTATGGTATATACCTATCTGCTCCCCTAGATCTGCTTTGATTTCACTGGCCTTGGGAGATTGGCACTAGTGGGCTTCTTGCCTTCCCATTATCAATTTCTCTCTTAATTTACCCAGAAATACAGAAAAATGCTGTTTGTTGTGGTTATTTTTAAAGGACATGGACAAATATTCATCCTGTGCTTCATAGTGGTGTATCTGTTAGATACAACTTGCTGAGATGGGCTAAAAAAATTATGGCTGCCTTTGTAAGTATATATTCTGCTTGTGTTTTTCTGTAAAATAATTTTATATCTTACTTTCTAATGGAAGGTGGCTGATCAGTTCTGTTAGCAAACATTGGCTTGCTGAACTATAAGGAGCAAGTAAAAGTTCTTTAATGGAGTTACTGCAGTATTGGAGCTATTGACTGAATATGTGGGATAGACAAAAAAGGTGATACCCAATGGTCATATTTGATGATCTTGTTATACTGAAGGATAACTGAAACAGAGGGTAAAAATTTAGAGCTCAACAGATGATGAAGTAACCGCATCACATCAGCAGAAAGATAACTGATTATTTTTTCATGGTTGGGCCTTCCCTTTTGAGAATCTTGTAACAGATCTGTAAATATTTGGTTTACTGGCATTTCAACTGGGAGAAGAGCATGGAGCAAAATCCATCTGAAAGAGGTTCCCAAATACATTAGAATTGTGTCTTTGTGAAAAAACCCTCAGTCTCATATATAGATAAACAGGGTGGGTTTTTTCCCCACAATGCAGATTCCTTCAGGATATTATCTCCAGACCATGAATTCCAACTTGAATTTGAATGGATTTTTCTTGCCAATTGCAGCGATGAATGTGATAAGCATTGTACCCTTATTAATTCTTGCTCCTGTTTTGGAATGCCTCAACACTCATCTATTGAGTTACAAGAAAGACCAACGCTTTCCGACATTTTACATTGGTGAGTATGAAATACATTTGTGTATGGTCTTCATCTGCATTTCATTCCTGACTGAAAAACTAAACTAGTTGATGGATCCGAAGGATGTGCTTGCTAGATGACACTCAGTGCATTGGAAAGTATGAACACTGAGAGAGAAAATCAACTGTTTTGGAGTAGCCTCCAGGATGATGATGATGACTTGGAGAGATTGGCTGTAACTGAGCTGAGGAAACATGCCAAAGATCAATAAAATGTTTCCACTCTATTTCGAGACTGGTTGGGGAAAATCCTTTTGTGTTGAGCCCCTAAAAACAGACAAAGCTTTGAGATGAAGTACTCAAGGATGTACTAGAAGGACAATCCTGAGACTGTGTATGATGATTTGCTAACTTCCTAAAAGCTTTCTGTTATGGTTGAACCTCCCTGGTTCAACACCCTCGGGACCCAAGTGATCTCAAACAAGGGAATTTACTGGACCAGGGGAGGTCAGGTGTCTGGGATCTCCTGGGGCTACCCTCCTGGCTGCTGCCTCAGGAGAATCCAGAGGCCTGGCCTCCTCTGGCTCACCTGCCTGGCTCTGCTGTCCCATGGGGTGCTGCTCCCAAGCCCTAGCCCCACACGGCGGCAGCTGCTCCCAGGGCTCCCTGGCCCCATGCGCACAGCGGCAGTTGATTCTGGGGGTCCCTCACACAGCAGCAGCTGCTTCTGGAGTTATCTACCCTAGCTCACTGGCCCCAGACCGGCTCTGCTCCAATCCACTCTGAACCTCTGGGGCCAGGGCTCTCTGTTTCCTCTGAATGTTGCTGTACCAGAGAATCCTGGAAGGAAGAGGTTCAACTTGTAGTTCCAGTTTAATTCCTATATTTCCAGTTTTACTAGTATGGAAAAGTGGTGTCTTGTCTTCTCCTTTATAAATAGAACTGTGAAACACTGACAGATGTGTAATTGTTGTGGCTGCTCAACACTGGAATATACCTAACTCCTAAGGTGCCAGTAATGTGCCCGGTGTTCAATGACACGGAGGTAAGCAATGTAGGTGCTTGAGCCACTAGGCCTTATAGGCCCTAGCCCTGGTGGGACCTAATAACCACTCGGACAACTGCCTAAGGGTGTATCTACATAGCAGCGTAACTCAAAATAAGATACGCAATTTGAGCTATGCAAATTGATTATCTTATTTCGATGCTATTTTGAAATTGCTTATTTCTTCACTTGGTGCTGTATATACAGCACCAAATTTCAACATAAAGCGTTATTCCAAAACGTCCCTTATTCCTCGTAAAATGAGGTTTACAGGGACATGGAATAGCGAGCCTGAAATAACGGGCTAGTTGTAAAGACGTGAGAGAGCTGTTTTGGGATTCTCCAGTATCCCAAAATAGCGTTGCAGTGTAGACATACCCTAAGTGAAAGAGTATTTTACTGGGGTGGGTGAGAAAAGGTAGCAGATGCCCTTTCCTAGGTACAGAGGCTTTAACAGTTACAGGTCCAAGTGAGCAACAGCAGTTCTTGCTTGGGTCCCCTGGGGCAATCCAACTGAGCATCAGGGCTTATCAGTCCTAGTGGCTTAACTACCCTTTCCAGTCTAAAACTACACCAAATATGATTTTCCCTGTAGACGCTATTTCTATAAGAGGTCAAGCAATAATGCTGCTTCTCAGTCCCTTCCAAATGTTGAGGCCTTTCACATCCAAAGGTAAATTTTACAATTTGGGGACTCATCCCTGATCAGTTCATATCGAAGAAGAACAGTATTCACCTATTTATTGAAATCTGTCTCCACTAACAAAGATTTCCAGGTAGAGCAAGCTCTATTCCTGTTTATTTTATCATCCACCTTGCAGTGTAAACTTCTTCAGACAAAACTGTTCATAAACAAGTATTTCCTCTTCTGCTAGTATAATTCATTGCCCTGTGGCATGGAGTACAATCATTGCTGAAATGCAGAAGTATTAATCAGATGAAAGTTAGACTAATTAAGGCTGTTGTTAAGTCTTGCACAAAGTAGAAGCGTATAACACAGCAGGTGGCAATTAACCCTGGTTTTCAAAAAACATCTAAATTAGACCTCAAAAAGTACATTCAGATGATGATGTTTTCCTTAAAACCATGGAAATTCCGAGTGGATGCTAGGGTACTATCCTATTGTGCTTTACTGCAGCAGAGTACACAAGGTAGCTTAGTCTTAATGGTTCTGGTTTTAAAAATAGCCTCCACACAAAATAACTTGAGGTGTAATTAACTGTGGGTGCAAACGATGACTGTTAGATATCTAACTACATGATTGCACCTGCAAATCTGGTAGAGCTGTAAGTGCCAGCATTTTGTGCCAGAAGTTAATTAGGTTCACAATTATTTGCAGGAGCAAAATTGGAAGTGTAAATAGGCTGTTGGTTTTAAGCCAGGTCTTAATGTATTCAAATGCAAATTTTGTAACGGAATTAAAAAACAGTAGTAATATTGAAAAAAACCTTAAAAAAAAAAGCATGAAGGCAAAGTTTCAATAAAACATTAACATACTACATTATGTGTTTCTGTTTTATGAATCAGGTTAATATCAAAGAACCTGGCTAAAGACTAAAAATCTATGAATATGTAACTGTATAAATAATGATGCATTATTTATCCAACTGTAATATTATCTTTGAACCTATTGTAGTTTTTCACACCAATCCTTCTAAGCAGATGTATAAAAATTCTATGTAGACTATATTAGAGCTTTCAAATACATTTTTTTTCTTTTTATAAATTAAGGATGATTCAAGTGATATGAAAAATTTGTAGACCCAGATCTTAGCCCCAAATGTATTTTAGACCTGAATGTCTCTCTGAGACATACAGTCAGCCAATACTTAAAGCTAATTAAGTATCTGTAGATTCGTATCTGTAGTATTCTTACATTAATTGATTCAGTAAAAGTGACACAGATTTAAGAAAGAATTGGTCATGTTGATAATATCCAGAGATACAACAAGGATTTTTTTTAAAATTTAGGAGGTGATAGTAATCCTTCCACTGCACAATCTAAAGGTGAGTTAGGAATCAACTTTCTCTGTTTCATAATTAGTTATTGTCTGCAGGATTTCATGCACCCTTCTCTGAAGCAACTTGAATTGGCTGCTGTTGCAGATAAGAGACTGGACAAGATGGTAATTCCTATGTTAGGCTGATAATTAATGCATTTCAGGCTCAACTAGAGATATAAAATGCTGTCTTCTTGCCAGGTATTAACACACTGTAGGGCTCTTGGAGCTTTCTCATAGAGGGCTCTTTTAATTTTGCAGGGAAAGGCGTAACAGTTTTCCCACTGGAAAATAGACGAGGCAGAATCAAGATATTAGTGCAATTTGTTTACAACTTCTGTGCGCAACTTCTGTTCCTTTGAATGAAGATCACAAACTGCACACAGATTACTTTCTCTTGGATAAACTTCAGCTAAAGCCACACTATTCTGTCCCTTGGGGCATGTCTACCCATGGATCATACATCGGATTAATTTAAATTTATTCACCTTAAAATACCTTGCATCCACATGCAGCATTTTTTTAAAGTGAATTATTCAGCATTTTAGGTCACAGTAATAATCCCCTTTGGAACAGGAATAACTCCTCTTCACTGTGAGTTTGTTTGCTTCATGGTTTATGCTATACACTCATCGATTCTAAGGTCACCAGGGACCACAGTGATAATCTAATCTGAACTCCTGCATAACACAGGTTGTAGCACTTCCCTGAATGGATTTCTCTTTGAACCTGACCATAACTTTTAGAAAAGCTATTAATCTTCATTTTGAAACTGCCAGTGATGGACAACCCATCACAACCTTTGGTAAATTGTCCCAGGATTTACTACCTCACTTTTCTAGTCTGAATTTGTTTGAACTTCCAGCATTTGGCTGCTAGATAGACCGAAGGGCTCTTGATCAAATATTTGTCTCCCATGTAGATACATAAAGAATGTGATTCGTTTACCTTCTCTTTGTTAAGCTAAATAAATTGAGCCCCTTGTGTCTGTCACTATAAGGTGTTTTCTAACCCTTTGATCATTCTTATGGCTCTTCTCTGAACCATCTCCAATTTATCAATAATCTTTTTGTATTATGGATGTCAGACCTGGACAGCAGTCACACCTATCAAAATACAGAGGGAAAATTATGTCCCTGCTATTACTTAATATTCCTCTGTTTATGCATCCAAGATTACCACTACTCCACTTCTGACAGTATTCTACACCTGGATTACCACTCTCAGCTTAGAGGGATCATCTTGGCAAGATGTCATCTTTTAAATGATGGCATGCAGTCAGAAGTGCCTCTATCTGATACCAGGTAGTGGTAAGGTTACAAACCCATTAAAGCAGCCATGCTTCCTTGCAGAGTGCCTGGACTTGACTGACTTTTTTGGAGAGCTAGACCTTTCCAGGGAAATTACCAGAATGCAAACCTCTGTGGGACACTGACAGAACAAATGAAGAAAGGACATATTCCCAGAGCTAGTTTCAGTGCCAAGTCAAAGCACAGCAACTCCAGCAGAAGTACTGTACCTGAAATCAGGGAACAAAAGTGGAACCTCCAATAATGCCCCTCTCTATGCTAAAAGAGCCCTATTTTTTACAAGCAACGCTACTGCCATTCCTAAGAATGATATGGTGGACAGTTTTCTACAAAGTGTCCAAGACCATGTGGAAAGGCTTCATGTGGCCCACTGGGCTTCTATGTGTGGTCTGAAAGACATTTTCTTTACCATTGCCCACACACAGGGTTGCCAGATCCTACTGATTTTCATGTGCATAGTTTTTTTTTTCTCCTACTTGTATTACAAAAGTGACACACATTTAAAGCAAGGGCCCACAAAGTGATTGCACACACTGTGAAAACCATGCACTGCCTCTGCTACCAATCAAAATGCTGCCACGGTTCAGTCAGTATGCCACACATATTCTAGGTATAGAAGCACAGTTAGTAAAACTACCCTATCCCGGGAGATCATCCTGGTTACAACAATCTTATGACCCACTGT